AACCACTACACAGGGTATGTCGACGAAATTTGGTCGGTAGTCTACCGAGGGGTATGACCACAGTAGTAGATGAATCGGTGGAGGTGCGCGTGAAGGAACGGACGGTGACACAGAACGCAAGAGACAGCGATTAGGTAGGTTTAGGCCGCCAACTTGGCGTAATACTCTACGTCATGTGTCTTTCGGTGGGTTGTATTGCATATGATCAGATGAAAACGAGGGGGTCTCTACCCGCCTTATATAGTCTGGGGGTCGGGTTATAGGTCGATTGTTTGTATCCTGATCGGTTTACAAGATAAAAAGTTATAGATATTACGGGATCTAGCATATCCGAACAGGTTTCCTAGATCACCGATGATCTTCACGCGGTCTTGCGAGACACGCCGACCTATGCCGCGCTTCGCACGGCGTCGTCTTGTAAGCTGGGCCTCCAGCAGTGGCGCGGCCCATGCGCAGTCTTGTGGGCTGGGCCTCCCCTAGCAGCTCGGCCCATGTACAACCCTTTGGGTATCAGGGTCATATCCCCACAGGGTAATCACATACACATACAAAATCAAGTGTATAAAGTTGCATACAAAATTATATGGTAATCAAAATATATCAAATACAAAGTTATAAAATAAAAAAGATTTACTTTATAATCACACATGCATCAATCTAATCTAGAAAAAAATTTATATCTAAAACCTTCCTTATTTATCCTATTTTATAATAAAATTAAAATTAAATAAATATGCATTTCATTTATTACCACCGATCTTGGAGGGGATATCTAGGAGGTAATAGGTGATCGTGACCATCCAGTCGAAATAAATAAACGGCTCAGACTCATTTGGGTACCGCAACAAAGCCCATTGGGTAATGATTTGCCATTGTGAAGACCCTAGGTGCGTTTTATAAGGCAGGATGAAAATCAAGTGTTGGAATGTACGGTTTCAGAAGGTATCGACAGATTTTGATCTGGGTAGCCGAAACGATCGCAATGTCGACCAAAGAATGCTAGGAGGAGAGAGAGAATGGCAGGGGAAGGGGAAGGAAAAGAGCCCGCGACACGGATGCTATCGTGGGAAAGAAAAGACCGATAGGCTTCTCCGTTCTGTTCCTACGTTCAACGGATGAAGTGTGGGGCCACGTAGATGACGTGGCTTGTTGCTAAAACCATAGGAAAATAGTCTAGTGGGGATCTCCAATGTAGACATAAAAGTTACTCCATCGGTCCGCAAATAAATTAATTTCTAGATCCGTGTCAGTCATTTTTTTTTCAAGTTTGACTAACTTTATAGAAAAGAGGAACAACATTTATGACATAAAATAAATATCTTATAAAAATATATTATATGATAAATCTAAATATACTAATTTGATATCATAAATCTTAATATTTTTTCTAAGAATTCGTTAAAAATTTAAAAAGTTTGACTGAAGACAACTATATGAATCTATTTATTCAGGGACAAATGGAGTAGAAGATAAGTAATGCATGAACGAGTGCGTTTAGGAGTGATAGCATACACACGTAGCTTATTGACAGGCCGGCTAATCAGCCTGTTCGCTTGTTGGTTTCAGTCCGGGCTTATCCGCCAGTCAACGGTGTTTTTATCTCACAACAAATCAGCATCAGCCGGGCTTATCAGTCCAAAAACCAACCAGCGAACAGGTCGAATGTAACAGCCACAGCCAAGGTGTGAGGTGTCCACTGTCAAAGTGGTTCAGAATAGGTAATGATGATGTGTTTGCTGCAGCAAGCCTAGGGCCTGTTCGGCAGGACTGAAAAATACTGTTCCGGCTGATTATTGTGAGAGAAAAATACTATTCTGGCAGAACGTGAACAGTGATTCTGTGAGAGAAAAAACAAGCCAGTCGGCTGGCTTTAAGCCAGCCGAACACGCCCCTAATTTACGGTGAACTGACACTACTCAATACCGGCAAATTGCCCCTAATCCGCACTAAGAAGTGGAAACAAAGAGCACCACGCAAAAAAGGGTTCATAGGCGTAAAAGAGTTCGGATCCATTCCACCGTTTGCAAAGAAATATATACGACGGTCAAGTATCGTTAAAATTGCCATATATCCAGCTATAATTGGTTGCTTAATGTATTGGTTTCGAGACGGAGAAACGATAAAGTTTATGGTCGAAATTACTGCGTAAACATGAGATCGTCATACTATTAGTCGAAGAAAAACCATATGATCTCAAGTCAACAGCTCGTTTTGAGGTCTCTAGAAAGTAGGAACAACGCCATGTCAGTGGATTAGAGAGCGAGAAAGTAACAATTATGGTAGTTTTCCTTTGGAGGTCACAAAATTTGGATGATTTAAAATTGTAATTCTAAAATGTTTTTGTTTTTTTTTAACCGCCAGGCCCTCCAATCTGCAAAAACCAAATAGGACCCACATAAGAGCATCTCCAAGAGTTCCCAGTAATTTCTTCACAAATCCATGGAGTTTTCCAACTTGCCAAAAAGTATTGGGATGAATAAATAAGATTATCTCCAGCAATTTTCAATAATTCACTCCTAAAATATGGAAGATAATTTTACATCAGGAATCTTATACTATTTTTAAATTATCCTAACCACTTTTATATAGTCTTTCTCTCTTGTATATTTGCATCATGAACGCTTTCCTACTTTATTCTTTCTCACGCCCTTCCACCTTAAATTGGCTGACCGATATGTGCGTGGAAGACGCGCGGATATATCCGCGCGTTCAGTGATTTTTTCCAAATGCCAAAAGATTGAAGGTGGGATTGTGAACTCTTGAAGATGAGTTTTTTATATTCTTGCCCAAAATCCTAGATTGAGAGGCTTTATTCGAAACTCTTGGAGATGCTCTAAAGCCATAGCTAGGAGAGATGATGGATTCACCCAGCTAATAATTACTTGCTAAAAATTCAAAGGGTGGATCTCAGGAGGCCCAACTAATAGGCTAGCTAACTCTTGGCTGGGCACCAAGTTAACAATTATCTTACTAGGCGCCCTAACCTAGCTTATAGATTGACAAATGACACTTTTGTCCCCTACCTACTTTTGTCTACGTGTCTTCCTAATTCGGGCTAAAAGAGGAAGATCATTATATTACAGATAAAACCATACATGCACCTTTAAGTTGCTGGGTCCAAATAAATCTAGCTAATAGTGACCAGCTTATATTTTAGATGTGCTCTATTGGAAGCTAAGGCTCCTTTGGATGTAAAGAAACGCAGGAACTAAAAAAACACATTGATAAGGTAGAAATATATATGCAAATCAAAGAAATAAAAAACATAGGAATTTTGTAGGAATTGAACCCTCCTTTGGATTGTAGGAAAAGCAAAGGAAAAACTTAGGATTCCCATTTTTATGAATTAAGTTACTGTAGCATTGTTTGGTCTATAGGAATCGTATGTAGAAAAAAACATAGGAAACTTTCATTTGTGTTCGATTTCACATGAAAACACAGAAGAAAAAAATCCACTCAAACATCATCGTTTTTTGTTTTTTAGAGTTCACCAAACACCTATTATTTTTTTCATTCCTCTATCTTACATATGCATTCCTATTTATGTATTTTTTTCAATCCTGCATTTTTTTCAAACGAAGAATTACGATCACATGGCAGGCCAGTAAAGGATAATATGGTTAAGCCGAAGGTTGAAAAGTGAAACTTTTCCCACAATAATAAAATTACTGTATCTGGAGAAAAAAAATTCCGCTAAAAAAAAATCCTATGCCACCAGATGGATGGCCCCACACCCCCCTCCTCCCATCAGATCTCACCAACCACGCCCCAAAACCACACGAACCCGAATTATTATAAATAAGCCCTCCCAAACCCCTTCCTTTTCCCGTGCTCCTCCTCTTCTCCTCCTCACCTATCATCGCCGCAGCGCGCCGTCTCCCCCGCTCCCGTCGCCGGGTAAGCAACCGCGCGCCCCCTCGCTCGGGTTCCTGTTCGTGTTTTCGCGCTGTGTGTCGTGGGAGATCCGTGTGGACGTGCGTGGTCGATCCCCTGCTTCCGGCCGCCCCCGCGCGCCGCTCGATCGGCCTGGTGACGCTGCCGGGATCGGCGGTGGGCTGGCCCGCCCATTTATCTCCTGATCCGGTTGGTCCGGCCGGGTTCGGTCGTGGGACTGGTGATGCGGGTGGGTTTGTTCGGCTCGACCCCGAACAGAGCTCTGGATCTGACCGAGCTCTGCTCGATTCAATGGATCAATTAGAGTGGGCAGCTAGTTCATTCTCGCTTGGCTCGCGTCGGGATTAGATCTGATACTTCCGTTCGGATCGGGTGCTGCTGTGGTTCGTTTCGCCCGCAGGGGTTTTTGGATCTGCGGGGTTTAGTTTAGTTTATTTAATCCATGTTTTTGAGGAAACAGGTGGAATAGTTTAGTCCATGTTGACTTCAGCGACAACGACTAGTACTGGCTTTCCGCTCCGTTCGCACGCCTCTGTCGAGATCCAAGGCATTTTTATTATCCACCCACTGGTAACCAATTATTATTAGTTAGGTCAAGTGTATCTAGTTGGCCAGCACCCACCCCTCGGGACTGGGCCTACTTTCTGTTGGAGGTTGGTGGTATGCCCCTTACCTATCTGACCTACCTACTAGGATAAACATATTTTGTTCCTTGATTGAAACTTTAATTTGACTATAGTTTAGTTTTATTCTGGTTTGGAACCAGTGGATCTGATGCGACTCAGGAGTTTTCTTAGATATACTAAATTCATCATAGTGGTATAATGGGCACAATTCTGTCTTTGTTGGATTATCAGCAATATACGAGTACGAACATGGAATCCATAGTTATCATTTTGATTGGCAAAGGGTTTATCATGGAGCGATTCTTAAATTGTACGTATAATATGGATGCCTGATCGGTGTTGCAAGATCACATTTTCAATATGCTCTTTTATCAGCATGATCTTAATCATATTGTTCTCATCCATATTCATGTTCCCTGTTACAAAAGTTCTCATGGTATTTCTAGTTTCTAATTGTAATTCTGTTTACGGCACAGAAAGATGGCGTCCCACATTGTTGGATACCCTCGCATGGGCCCCAAGAGGGAGCTCAAGTTTGCCCTTGAGTCTTTCTGGGATGGGAAGACCACTGCTGAGGATCTTGAGAAGGTTGCTACCGACCTCAGGGCCAGTATCTGGAAGCAGATGGCTGATGCTGGGATCAAGTACATCCCCAGCAACACCTTCTCCTACTACGACCAGGTCCTTGACACCACCGCCATGCTCGGCGCTGTCCCAGAGCGCTACTCATGGACTGGAGGAGAGATCGGGCTTGACACCTACTTCTCCATGGCCAGGGGCAATGCCACTGTCCCTGCTATGGAGATGACCAAGTGGTTCGACACCAACTAGTAAGTCCTTTGCCTGCTACTAATGGTAATTTCAGTTTCAGATTTTGTATTTAATATTTTTGCTGACAAACTTTGTTCTACTTTTACAGCCATTTTATTGTCCCTGAATTGGGCCCTAACACCAAGTTCTCCTACGCTTCTCACAAGGCTGTTAACGAATACAAGGAGGCTAAGGCGGTACGATACACTCATTATATTTCTGTTATCTCAGTTTAATGTGCTAACCTATTCTCCTAATGTTAATTTCCTACTTGTGTACTTGATTGTCTGATGGTTGCTAATACATTCCTATTTCTTTTGACATCATAATTACCCGATAAAGTCATTTGATAGTTTAGCATGCTGCCTTCAGCTAATTGAACCTCAAACTAGTAGTGATCATTCATTTTTAATCCTGCACTTAATTAGTAATTTTGGATTAACACAGAAACTGGGATGTACATCCAGATACCTAATTGGTGTAACATTTTGGAAGCTTGTTATTGTGATATTGTCAGATCAAATTGGTTGCAAAGAAACTTGGTACTTTTGAGCTTTCTAGTTCATTGTTTGAACTTGAGCGTTGACACATTGACCAAAAATGGCTTTCTTCATGAAAATGACAATTTCAGGCTACAGTAAGAATGTTTCCTGAGTTGTATTGTGCCTCTGACAAGTTGGTCTGATCTTGCTTTTGTTGTTTTGTTTTTCTTATTTTGCTCTGTTGGAGATTGTCTGAAAAGGATTCGGAGTTGAGTGTATTTTCATTTTTCCTATGCCATAAGCAGTGGGGCACACAGAGTGGTTGCATTATTTCTTTTGTGTTGTTTACTCTGAAATATGAAAACAGGTGCCTTTTCTTGCAAGGATTTCATCTACTCGCTTGTATGGCTTATATGTTGTCGCCTCATGCAGCTTGGTGTTGATACCGTGCCAGTACTTATTGGACCAGTCTCATACCTGTTGCTCTCAAAGCCTGCCAAGGGTGTGGAGAAGGGATTCCCTCTTCTTTCCCTTCTTAGCAGCATCCTCCCTGTCTACAAGTAAGATTATAAACAAGTTACTAGCTACTGCTGGCCCTTGAGTTTTCAGTTGATAATTTGATGCATGATGATTGTAGGGAGGTCATTGCTGAGTTGAAGGCAGCTGGGGCTTCATGGATTCAGTTTGATGAGCCCACTCTTGTCCTCGACCTTGATTCTAACAAGTTGGCTGCATTCTCTGCTGCATACGCAGAACTTGAATCTGCACTTTCTGGATTGAATGTGCTTGTCGAGACTTACTTTGCTGATGTTCCTGCTGAATCATACAAGTATGCTATTCATGTCGCAAGTTCACCCTTTTCTCAACCATTGTTCCTCCCAGACCCTTTTGTAATGACAGCATACTCACTGTTCTTTGAATGCAGGACCCTAACATCTCTGAGCGGTGTGACTGCTTATGGTTTTGATCTTGTCCGTGGAACCCAAACTCTTGGGCTTGTCACGAGTGCTGGTTTCCCTGCTGGAAAGTACCTCTTTGCTGGTGTTGTGGATGGACGCAACATCTGGGCTGATGATCTTGCTACATCTCTCAGCACTCTCCAGTCTCTTGAGGCTGTTGTTGGGAAGGGTAATCATACTTTCACTGTTTATCTGTCGTAAGATTAGATTTGGTTACAGTTGGCAATAGCTGATAATGCCTACCATTTGTTCAGACAAGCTTGTTGTATCAACTTCCTGCTCACTCATGCACACCGCTGTGGATCTTGTGAACGAGACTAAGCTTGACAGCGAGATTAAGTCTTGGCTTGCTTTTGCTGCCCAGAAGGTGGTTGAGGTTGATGCTCTTGCGAAGGCATTGGCTGGTCAAAAGGATGAGGTATGGCAGTTTTGTTCTCATTCTCTGCTGTCTTAACTAGTCCTTGGTGTTTCTTTTTCCTGCATACAAACTTATACTGGCCTATTCATTTCTGCAAATGTCATCTACAGGCTTACTTTGCAGCAAATGCTGCTGCTCAGGCATCGAGGAAATCCTCTCCCCGTGTGACCAATGAAGAAGTCCAGAAGGCTGTGAGTACCTTGCCTGAGGCTTAAAAGCTTACACCTGCTAGTCCAATTTTAACGTGTACCAACCTCTTTCTGTATACTGTTACAGGCTGCTGCTCTCAAGGGCTCTGACCACCGCCGTGCAACCACCGTTAGTGCTAGATTGGATGCCCAGCAGAAGGAGCTCAACCTCCCCGTCCTTCCCACGACTACAATTGGTTCGTTCCCGCAGACTGTGGAGCTCAGGAGGGTCCGCCGTGAGTACAAGGCGAAAAAGTGAGTAACATTTAATACTTATACTTCACTTGTCTGTATTTTGGCTGTATTTCTTATTGGAAATTCACATTGCAGGATCTCTGAGGAAGAGTATGTCAGTGCCATCAAGGAGGAAATCAGCAAGGTTGTTAAGCTCCAAGAAGAGCTTGACATCGATGTGCTTGTGCATGGCGAGCCCGAGGTTAGTGCTCTTGAAGTTGTTCTGCTAGTTTTTGCTGTGCATTTGAGATAATAAATTACGATATCATAATTGTAGAGTCACATTTAAGCAACTTCATTGGCCTGTTTTTTACAGAGAAACGATATGGTTGAGTACTTTGGTGAGCAGCTCTCTGGTTTTGCATTCACCGCCAATGGCTGGGTGCAATCTTATGGATCAAGGTGTGTCAAGCCACCGATCATCTATGGTGATGTGAGCCGCCCCAACCCAATGACTGTTTTCTGGTCGAAGATGGCACAGAGCTTGACATCTCGCCCAATGAAAGGAATGTTGACTGGTCCAGTCACAATCCTCAACTGGTCATTTGTCCGGAATGACCAGCCAAGGTCAGTAACTAAAGCAGAAGGATTTAGTTTATGGTTTTCAGAGCATTATTTTCTTCCATTTAGAGACTGACATGTTGCTCCTATCTTCCAGATTTGAGACTTGCTACCAGATTGCTCTTGCGATCAAGAAGGAGGTCGAGGATCTTGAGGCTGCTGGTATTAAGGTTAGCATTTTTTTTACTTTTCTTGGTGTATTATTTAATCAAGAGCTCTATGTACATTAATGATTGATCATATTGCTTATATCTCACTGTCCTTTGCAGGTTATCCAAATCGATGAGGCTGCATTGAGAGAAGGTCTGCCACTCCGCAAGGCTGAGCACGCTTTCTACTTGGACTGGGCCGTCCACTCCTTCAGAATCACCAACTGTGAAATCCAGGACACCACCCAGGTCATTCTCTTGAACTGCGCCGTGGAGCCTTGTCAGTGAGTCAGATATGCACATCAACATTTCTTCAAGACATTCCACCTGACTTTCCTTCTCTTGACAGATCCACACCCACATGTGCTACTCCAACTTCAACGACATCATCCACTCCATCATCGACATGGACGCCGATGTGATCACCATCGAGAACTCCCGGTCCGACGAGAAGCTCCTCTCCGTCTTCCGCGAGGGCGTGAAGTACGGTGCCGGCATTGGCCCCGGTGTCTATGACATCCACTCCCCCAGGATCCCGTCCACCGAGGAGATTGCTGACCGTGTCAACAAGATGCTTGCGGTGCTCGACACCAACATCCTCTGGGTGAACCCCGACTGTGGTCTCAAGACCCGCAAGTACGCGGAGGTCAAGCCCGCCCTAACCAACATGGTCTCGGCCGCCAAGCTCATCCGCGCCGAGCTCGCCAGCGCCAAGTGAGGACGGCCGTCTCCGCCACGACTTTTCCTTTAATTACAAGGAGGGTGTCATCAAGAAGCCATTTGTTTCCAATAATCAGGGTCCCCTGTTCCCGTTCTGCTCCGTTTGTGGTTAGATTAGTATTTTTCTTGGTGTGATGATCTCCCCACGCAATACCTGTTTTACTCACTATTTTGTGGTTTTGAGGCAAGTTTGTCCGTGTACTTGTATTGTAAAACTGAGTGGGATATCTGCAGTGTTTCATCTGCCACTCCGAGGTGTCTTCCGGCTCAAAGTAAAGATCTCGTATCGGCAAGCTAATAGCTAATTGTGTTTGCGCTCAGGTTAATGGTCCACTGTGTGCTATACACTGCCATTGCCAAGTCTTTCATTTGTCTATCTTGGACTCTGCGAGCTGGAACTGGAACATTCAGATTTTCCAGTTGATTTGGGTGATTCAAGTTTATCTTGGACTGGGAGCTGGAACATTCAGGATTTCCAGTTGAATGTGATTCAAGTCTTCCATTTGTCTATCTTGGACTTTGGGAGCTGGAACATTCAGGTTTTCCAGTTGAATTTTGGGGTGATTTGTGGTAAATTCCCAGCCGCAAAGCACTCTGTTTTGCTTGCTTTGATAAGGTACACATGGTCTATTCTGCTTTGCCTTTGGCACACATGACACACGAGGTACGGTCTCCGTGCACAGTGTCGTGTTTATATACACGACACTGTGTGCGATTACAAAGTTCACATCATCAGCACATAATTACAAGCAACGCTTGGGCACTTTCGTTCCGTTTGCAGTTTTGCACTGCACCATCTAAATAAGCAGCAGGCAGAGTTGCTAGCTTTGCAGGGTGCGCCACACGGCCACGATGATCCCAACGAGCACGGCCACCGCCGCCGTAGCGTTCACCATCAGCTGTCGTGTCGGCTCCGTCGTCATAGTCGCCGTCGTCGGAGCATCGCCCACCGCTGGCAATGCCCCAGCTTGGTTGTTCTTCTCGGGTCGCTTCGCACCCCTTGCTGTTTCATCCACCTTCCCTCTCAATTCAGCGCCAGCTGGCTCATCCGCACGTTTGGTTTTCTTGCTGCTCTTCTTCTCCGGTGGTGGTGGTGGCGGCGGCCAAATGTCTTTGCCGTCTTCCTGTCTCACCATGGCCATGGTACTGGTATCTTGCAGTTGCTTCTTCTTCAGTGGTTCCTCTGCACCACGAGGAGGCAGCGCCGCCGGAGGAGGCGGCGGGACAGAGACCGTTGTCTGACACAATGGAGGAGTCGACGGTTTCGGCTCAGGAGCAGCACCCGGCTTCCCATGCCGCGACGTTGACGGTTTCAGCTCTTCAGTGGCGGGCTTCGCCGTAGGTGGTCCTGGAGGCGGTTGCAACGGACGTGGCGCTGGCGGCTTTGGTTCTGAATAAACAGGACGGCGAGCTTGTTCGGGTGGCGGTGCCGCCTCTGAATAGATAGAAGGACGAGGTGGTGGTGCCAACGGCGGTGATGGACGTGGAGCCGGCGCCTGCGGCAGTTCAGGGTAAGTAGGAGGCGGCGGAGGTGGTGGAACAAGCCGCGGTGGAAGACGTCGCGGCGGTTCATAACGATGACTTGGAACAGGAGGCGGCGGTGGTGGTTGAGGCTGGCGGAGCGGCGATGGCTCAGGATACTTTGGAGGCTGTGGCGGTGATGGACGCTGACATGGTGGCTCAGGATAAGAACGTGGTGGCGTCGGCGGGGATGGAGGCCGACGTGGCGGTGGTGGCTCAGGACGCGTAGGAGGAAGAGGCGGTGATGGACGCTGACGTGGTGGTGCTGGTGCTGATGCTGGTGGTGGCGGTGGCGGTGGCGGCGCAGAATAACTTGGGAAACGAGGTGGAGATGGGGGCCGACGCATCAGCGCCGACGGAGGTGCCGGCTCAGAATAACTTGGGAAACGAGGTGGCGATGGGGGTCGACGCGTCGGCGGCGACGGTGGCGGCGATGGCGATGGCGATGGAGATGGAGATGAAGACCGACCCGGCGCCGCCTCGGAATAACTTGGAATAAGGGACGGGGATGGTGGAGGCGGTGGTGATGGACATGGTGGCTGCGGCGGTTCATGATAAGCTGGAACAGGAGGTTGTGGTGGCGATGGACGACGACGTGGTCGTGGTGGTGAATGATGTAAAGTAATCTGTTGCTCTCCCTGTCTGAACGCGCGGCAGGAGCAGGCGCCGAAAGGGCTCCCTGCTGCTGCATTGTAGCCGCGGTAGGGGCAGGCGCCGAAAGGCTCCCCTACTGCACTGTAGCCACAGCAGGGGCAGACGCCAAAGTCAGCCATGTTGTCATATCTAGTCACTGTAGCAGCTTGGCAGCCTGATATGTGTGTGTGCTAGGATTAGATGGGTAGAGTTGTATATGTAGCTTCCCACTGCAACTCAGTAAAGAGAGCGAGTTCAGTTTTGCCATCTCCTCTGCAGAGCTTCGGCCAACGCTGGTGCTAGTGTTGTGTGTGTGCGCTCTGTTCTTCCTCCCTTCTTCTACCTCTAGCCATAGTCGAGCGAGAACGCCGGTGACCGGTCGGCTCACCTGGTGACTGGTCGGCTCACCCGTGCGGGAGATCTCAGGACCAACAAGTGGTATCAGAGCAGGATTCTAAAGATTCAGGATCGGGAGCGGCGTCTTCTCGCGAAGGTAAAACACGCACGTAATCGATTGTACCTGCTCGACTTGAAGGTGAAGCAATCAGTGTGCCTGGCAGCATGGCACACCAAGAAGCCGTGGTTGTGGCATGCCCGGTTCGGCCATCTCAGCTTCGACGCGCTCGGTCGGCTGAAGAAGATGGTCCAAGGGCTGCCCCACATCAAGCACGCTGGCGAGCTGTGTGATAGCTGCGTGGCCAGGAAGCAGAGGAGGCTGTCGTTCCCAAAGGCGGTCAAGTATCGCGTGGCAGACGCGCTCGAGCTCGTCCACGGCGATCTCTGCGGGCCAATCACGCCAGCCACAAATGGTGGTCGACGGTACTTCCTCCATCTCGTGGATAATTGCAGTCGCTATATGTGGCTGCAACTTCTGACGAGTAAGGACGAAGCGGTGGAGGCGATCAAGAAGTTCAAGGCACGCGCGGAGGCGGAGAGCGGCAAGAAGCTGCGCGTAATGCGGACTGATCGCGCGCGGCGAATTCACCTACGTGGAGTTCGCTTCGTACTGCGCGGATCAGGGTGTGGTGCGACACCACACCGCCACAGCAGAATAGCATGGTGGAGCGGCGAAACCATACAATGGCTGGCATGGCTCGATCCATGATGAAGGCCAAGAGCATACCGGCAAGGTTCTGGGGTGAGGTGGTGACCACAGCAGTGTTCATCCTCAACCGTGCACCCACAAAGGTCCTGAAGGGCGTGACGCCGTTCGAAGCTTGGTATGGGCGCAAGCCGAACGTGTCCTTCCTCCGGACATTCGGCTGCATCGGTCACGTTAGGAAGACGAAGCCGGTCCTCACCATGCTGGAGGACAGGAGAACACCGATGGTGCTCCTGTGCTACGAGGAAGGTACTAAGGCGTACCGGCCCTACGACCCACGCGGAGGCAAGGTGGTTGTCTCGCGCGACGTCGTGTTCGACGAGAAGGCGGTCTAGAACTAGGACAGTCCGGACATGGGAGAAGCTGGCGGCTTGATCAGCACCTTCGTCGTCGAGCACTTCGTCATCCACGGTGGTGGAGACGCTGGAGAGGAGGTGTCGTCCACTCCAGCAACAGAGCCGAGCACTCTGGGAGGGGTGCCGAGCATTCCGAGATGGGTGCCGAGCGGTCCTGCAGTGGTGCTGACCACTCCAAGACTGGTGCCGAGTATGGCAGCCTGACATGTGTGTACTAGGATTAGATGGGTAGAGTCATATATGTAGCTTCCCACTGCAACTTAGGAAAGAGAGCGAGTTCAATTTTGCCATCTCCTCTGCAGAGCTCCGACCAACGCTGGTGCTTGTGTTGTGTGTGCGCGCTCTGTTCTCCCTCTCTTCTACCTCTAGCCATAGTCGAGCGAGAACGTCGGTGACCGGTCGGCTCACCGGTAACTGGTCGGCTTACCCGTGCGGGAGATCTCGGGACAAAAAGGAGGTGGCGGCGGCTGTGCCCGTGGAAGTACGTATGAGGCCAGCTAGGCTCTGGCGGCGACAGAGTCGGTGAGTGCGACGGCGGCGGCGACAGTGGGGAGCGTGATGATGAGCTTCTCGCCCTCGAACCTGGCGCGGGCGCCGTCGGCGCACAGCTGTCGGGGAGGCGGAGGTCCTTCTTGAACCGGGCCCACCTGCCGCCCCTGGTGGGGCGCTCGCCGGTGGCGCGGAGCACGGCGTGGTTGTCCACCTGCATCCTCACCTGGTCCTTGCGGAACCCCGGCAGCGAGATCTCCACCACGTCCTGCTCCTCCCTGGCCAGCTTCCACACCACCGCCGGCTCGAAGTCCTCGAACACCCACGCCGCCGCCGCGCTCCGCCGCCGGACCATGGCAGCTATTCGCCACCAGAGACCGACACCCACCAACACCAAAGCTGCTCGCTTTCGCAGCGAGCGAGCGTACACGGACAGCGAACCCTCGGCGTGTATTTATGGTATTGGGATTTGCAATGGCGTGGCATACCGGCGTGCCATGACGCCGACGCCGAATTGCTGCCATGTCCGAGCCATGGAAGGAATGCAAGGAAGGAAGGGTTGCTTGCATTGGTGAGGATGCGCAGCACAGCAGGAGGCGGCCGCAGCTGACATGGAGTGAGAGCTGTGGGTTGGGTCACCTCCGTCCTTGGGCCAAGGACATGGTTCCTTTCTTGCTGTCTGTGTGGTGGTGGCCTCCATGGCTCCCATTCCATCGAGCTGCTACTGTAATGGATGGAGTGCTAGCTGAAGCATGAAGGCAAGACCAAAGCACACGTGACTTGCATTGCGGGTCTATGTTAATTTCGTGGCTTGAAATCAAATTAAATTATGATGATTGATTGCTATAAACTGATTGACATAAGATGCTGTGCTGAATTGTTCGAGGAGGCATTGCAGACTTGCAGTGCGATATGGTTTGGTTGTGAGTATTCTTTTTTTTTTTTTAGGGGAAGTGAGTATTCTTTTCTGAACCTGAATGCTAGCATTTGAAGACAATATGGGCCTAAAGGCTCTAGGCCCGTACAAGATTTATATCACTCAATCGGCCCAACAAAGAGCCAGAGCAATAGTTGGCGGGACTGGCGATTCACAGGCACTTGGGCCGGTGTTAGCCCACGACCCCACGAGTGTTTTTTATTTTTGAATTTTGCAATTTCCCTCTCAGCTTCTCAATTGAGAGAAACAAGTCGATTGGCTATGTGAAGTGAAAAAGGACACAAATCTATCGGTTGAATGGCAGAAAACTAGGAGAACTGGGCCTTCGCTGTCTCCGTTTCCCTATCATCCGCAACCTAATAAAACTGAAAAGATAGGTATGAAAGTTCCATCAGCGTAATAAATATCCTTAATATACATGATAGACTTGGAGGTCGTGTTATTTTTTTTAGAGTTTAAAGGACGATGTCCTTGTCCATTTGCATTGTAGTAGACATAGGTTTAGGGAGTCGACATCCCAAATCAATGAGCACCTAGGGTGTAGAATATAGCATTCAAAGTTCTATAACATATTTTGTTGAAAATAAAAATAAAGATAGGGTGCCGAGCATCGAGGGCTAACCTCCAACATATACAATAGATTACTACCTCCATTTTCTTCCCCATTTTCTCTAGCTTGTTAGGCGTGACGAGTGCAATTCCAAGAATGAAGCAGAGCATATATTAAAAACTACCGAACGCTGCACTTCTATAGGCATAAGAATGACACATCCATTAGGTTGATTTGTTCCCTTCTCTTTTGCATGCACCATGTAGCTATGCATGTGGTTGCATCTTTGAATTTGGAGCGCAATGAGTATATGCGATCATACTCCACAAATTACTCTACCACGCCTAACAAATGAATAATTATACTCCTAAAAATACTTACCATGCCTAACAAAAAAATAATTATGTGAAACCCGATGGCGACTAACAAAAAATGGAGGGAGTAGTAATGATTTTATTTTATTTCGTAGGGGAGGGGGGCATATGACCCCCCTTTGAAGCTACATCGCAGCTCACCTATCTTAAGACATGATTGTTTTTATGCCGAGTGAAGCTCCATTCATATCAAAGATCCAGGACCCTACCCAGTCTGAAGCTTAGAGAAAACATTTTAGAACATACTCTGCTAGTTCCGCCCATTGCCTATAGCAAGTATTTGGACAAAACTTTGGATGATCTTACTTCTTGTACACTTGTTTGTGTTAAATGTAGGTTTAGATTGTGAAGGTCATTTAAGGTTGGAACTAGAAATCGTCCATAAGGGACCCAAATGCTAATATTCAAATAATAGAGGTGTGAAATAAAAATTAATTTAAGATTAACATTTGCTGTTTGAGTCATGTTGATAGAAACCTTTGCTAATAACCTTTGCATACTTTGCGATTCAACATCATTAGATAAACCCTCGTTATGAAGGTTTTCTTGCTACGAGGAACGGTGGATCGCTCTCCGAAGGCTGGCCAAACAATGGTGCAAATTCTTTGGTTGGCTACTCCTCTAAAATAGGTTGTAGACCGCGAAAAGATTATCTGTACAAGACTGATTGAGCCATATGTTTGCCTACACCGTCGCGCCAATCGAGAGAATGCCATCCACCTTTTCATTCATTGTCGCGCTACTCCATCTATGTTCCACAATTAGTAGGGGTTTGCTTCCAGCTATGCAGATTCTTACATATATATAGGACTCAAAACATTGATACATCATACAGTAGATTTTAGTAACCTCAAACAAATTTCAAGAAGCACAGTAACATAAGAAGATCATTTTCTATGCAAGTTTTGTGTTGAGGGGAAAGACAACCTAATGTTTCGGTGGCACATGTTTGAGACAATGGTAAAGTAATCAACATAATACAATCATTTTAAAAGGATTTGAATTTGAATTTGAATTGTTCATATTCTCAGCCAGAGAATATCAACGGGATTTGTAACATGGTATGGAGTTCAAGCCTTGATTTAGCAATCTCCATTGGTTTCATATAGTTTGAATGAAAATAACATTGAAAATAGAAACGCCCCGGCTCCGCAAATGCCCGCGCACGCGCGGACTCGCCTCCGCCTCCACCAGTCCACCGCGGCCGTAGCCTGTATAGCTGCGCATGCGCCGCCGCCAGCACCTTGCCCTCGCCGCCGCCGCCAAATCCCACGCCGCGCTCCTCAAGTCCGGCGCCTCCTCCCCCACGCCCTGGAACCAGCTCCTCACCGCGTACTCCGGCTCCGGCTCCGGCCTCGCCGCCGCGCGCCGGGTGTTCGACGAGATCCTCCGCCCCGACGCGGCCTCCTGGAACTCCCTCCTCGCCGCGCACGTCGCCGCCGGCGCGCACCGGGACGCATGGCGCCTGCTCCGGGCCATGCACGCGCGGGGCTCGCCGCCAGCTCCTTCACCCTCGGCTCCGCCCTCCGCTCCGCGGCCGCCACGCGACGCCCGGAGCTCGGCGCCCAGCTGCAGTCGTTCGCCGTCAGGTGCGGCCTCGCTGACAACGTCTCTCTGCTAGCGCATTGCTAGATGTGTATGCGAAATGTGGCCGATTGAGCGATGCTCGCCGAGTGTTCGATGGAATGCCAGTACGGAATACCGTTTCTTGGAACGCGCTCATTGCTGGATACGCGGACTCTCAGAAGCCGGCAGAAGCAATGGATCTGTTTCTCGAGATGCAGAGGGTGGGGTTGGTCCCAGATGATGGGACATTTGCTGCGTTGCTAGCTACAATTGAGGGCCCGCGCTGGTTTTCCTTGATGCAGCAGCTGCATGGAAAGATTGTGAAGTATGGTTCAGCATTGGGGTTGGTAGTGCTAAACGCAGCAATCACTGCTTACTCGCAGTGTGGCGCACTTGCAGACTCTAGAAAGATCTTTGATGGAATTGAGAGTAGGGATTTGATATCATGGAATTCTATACTTGGGGCCTATGCTTACCATGGGATGAACAGTGAGGCAATGAGATTCTTCGTCAGGATGATGCGGGAGAGTGGAATCCAGCCTGACATGTATAGCTTTACAAGTGTCGTAAGTGTTTGTTCTGAGCATGGCTGTGATGATAGGCAAGGGAGATCAATTCATAGTTTGGTGATCAAGATTGGGTTGGAAGGAGTCACACATGTTTGCAACGCTATGGTCGCCATGTACACTAGGTTCACTGAGGTCGTGTTATTTTTTTTAGAGTTTAAAGGACGATGTCCTTGTCCATTTGCATTGTAGTAGACATAGGTTTAGGGAGTCGACATCCCAAATCAATGAGCACCTAGGGTGTAGAATATAGCATTCAAAGTTCTATAACATATTTTGTTGAAAATAAAAATAAAGATAGGGTGCCGAGCATCGAGGGCTAACCTCCAACATATACAATAGATTACTACCTCCATTTTCTTCCCCATTTTCTCTAGCTTGTTAGGCGTGACGAGTGCAATTCCAAGAATGAAGCAGAGCATATATTAAAAACTACCGAACGCTGCACTTCTATAGGCATAAGAATGACACATCCATTAGGTTGATTTGTTCCCTTCTCTTTTGCATGCACCATGTAGCTATGCATGTGGTTGCATCTTTGAATTTGGAGCGCAATGAGTATATGCGATCATACTCCACAAATTACTCTACCACGCCTAACAAATGAATAATTATACTCCTAAAAATACTTACCATGCCTAACAAAAAAATAATTATGTGAAACCCGATGGCGACTAACAAAAAATGGAGGGAGTAGTAATGATTTTATTTTATTTCGTAGGGGAGGGGGGCATATGACCCCCCTTTGAAGCTACATCGCAGCTCACCTATCTTAAGACATGATTGTTTTTATGCCGAGTGAAGCTCCATTCATATCAAAGATCCAGGACCCTACCCAGTCTGAAGCTTAGAGAAAACATTTTAGAACATACTCTGCTAGTTCCGCCCATTGCCTATAGCAAGTATTTGGACAAAACTTTGGATGATCTTACTTCTTGTACACTTGTTTGTGTTAAATGTAGGTTTAGATTGTGAAGGTCATTTAAGGTTGGAACTAGAAATCGTCCATAAGGGACCCAAATGCTAATATTCAAATAATAGAGGTGTGAAATAAAAATTAATTTAAGATTAACATTTGCTGTTTGAGTCATGTTGATAGAAACCTTTGCTAATAACCTTTGCATACTTTGCGATTCAACATCATTAGATAAACCCTCGTTATGAAGGTTTTCTTGCTACGAGGAACGGTGGATCGCTCTCCGAAGGCTGGCCAAACAATGGTGCAAATTCTTTGGTTGGCTACTCCTCTAAAATAGGTTGTAGACCGCGAAAAGATTATCTGTACAAGACTGATTGAGCCATATGTTTGCCTACACCGTCGCGCCAATCGAGAGAATGCCATCCACCTTTTCATTCATTGTCGCGCTACTCCATCTATGTTCCACAATTAGTAGGGGTTTGCTTCCAGCTATGCAGATTCTTACATATATATAGGACTCAAAACATTGATACATCATACAGTAGATTTTAGTAACCTCAAACAAATTTCAAGAAGCACAGTAACATAAGAAGATCATTTTCTATGCAAGTTTTGTGTTGAGGGGAAAGACAACCTAATGTTTCGGTGGCACATGTTTGAGACAATGGTAAAGTAATCAACATAATACAATCATTTTAAAAGGATTTGAATTTGAATTTGAATTGTTCATATTCTCAGCCAGAGAATATCAACGGGATTTGTAACATGGTATGGAGTTCAAGCCTTGATTTAGCAATCTCCATTGGTTTCATATAGTTTGAATGAAAATAACATTGAAAATAGAAACGCCCCGGCTCCGCAAATGCCCGCGCACGCGCGGACTCGCCTCCGCCTCCACCAGTCCACCGCGGCCGTAGCCTGTATAGCTGCGCATGCGCCGCCGCCAGCACCTTGCCCTCGCCGCCGCCGCCAAATCCCACGCCGCGCTCCTCAAGTCCGGCGCCTCCTCCCCCACGCCCTGGAACCAGCTCCTCACCGCGTACTCCGGCTCCGGCTCCGGCCTCGCCGCCGCGCGCCGGGTGTTCGACGAGATCCTCCGCCCCGACGCGGCCTCCTGGAACTCCCTCCTCGCCGCGCACGTCGCCGCCGGCGCGCACCGGGACGCATGGCGCCTGCTCCGGGCCATGCACGCGCGGGGGCTCGCCGCCAGCTCCTTCACCCTCGGCTCCGCCCTCCGCTCCGCGGCCGCCACGCGACGCCCGGAGCTCGGCGCCCAGCTGCAGTCGTTCGCCGTCAGGTGCGGCCTCGCTGACAACGTCTTCTCTGCTAGCGCATTGCTAGATGTGTATGCGAAATGTGGCCGATTGAGCGATGCTCGCCGAGTGTTCGATGGAATGCCAGTACGGAATACCGTTTCTTGGAACGCGCTCATTGCTGGATACGCGGACTCTCAGAAGCCGGCAGAAGCAATGGATCTGTTTCTCGAGATGCAGAGGGTGGGGTTGGTCCCAGATGATGGGACATTTGCTGCGTTGCTAGCTACAATTGAGGGCCCGCGCTGGTTTTCCTTGATGCAGCAGCTGCATGGAAAGATTGTGAAGTATGGTTCAGCATTGGGGTTGGTAGTGCTAAACGCAGCAATCACTGCTTACTCGCAGTGTGGCGCACTTGCAGACTCTAGAAAGATCTTTGATGGAATTGAGAGTAGGGATTTGATATCATGGAATTCTATACTTGGGGCCTATGCTTACCATGGGATGAACAGTGAGGCAATGAGATTCTTCGTCAGGATGATGCGGAGAGTGGAATCCAGCCTGACATGTATAGCTTTACAAGTGTCGTAAGTGTTTGTTACGAGCATGGCTGTGATGATAGGCAAGGGAGATCAATTCATAGTTTGGTGATCAAGATTGGGTTGGAAGGAGTCACACATGTTTGCAACGCTATGGTCGCCATGTACACTAGGTTCACTGAGTACTGCATGATGGAAGATGCATATAAGTGCTTTAATTCTCTGGTTTTTAAGGATGCAGTCTCCTGGAACTCTATGTTAACTGGGTATTCACATCATGGTTTGAGTTCTGACGCTTTGAGATTCTTCAGATGCATGCGAGCAGAGAATATTAGGACAGATGAGTTTGCGCTCTCTGCTGCTCTGAGGTCTTGCTCAGACCTTGCTGTACTTCAGCTAGGTAGACAAGTACACAGTTTAGTCATCCAATCTGGTTTTGCTTCCAATGACTTTGTTTCAAGCTCGCTGATCTTCATGTATTCTAAGTGCGGAATGCTTGGTGATGCAAGAAAGTCTTTTGAAGAGGCAGATAAGGGTAGCTCGGTGCCCTGGAACTCGATGATGTTTGGTTATGCACAACATGGGCAGGCACAGACTGTGACCGACCTCTTCAATGAGATGCTGGACCTTGAGGTTCCTTTGGATCATGTTACCTTTGTTGCCCTGATTACCGCCTGCAGCCATGGTGGTCTTGTAGATGAAGGGTCGGAAATTCTCAATACAATGGAAACTAGGTACAAAATTCCTCTGCGAATGGAACACTATGCATGTGGAGTTGATCTATATGGGAGGGCTGGGCAGCTTGACAAAGCAAAAGAGCTTATTGAGTCTATGCCATTTCAGCCAGATGCCATGGTGTGGATGACCCTTTTAGGTGCTTGCAGAATCCATGGGAATATGGAACTAGCAAGCGATGTGGCAAGCCATTTGTTTGTGGCAGAACCTCGGCAGCACTCCACCTATGTTCTTCTCTCCAGCATGTATTCTGGTCTTGGTATGTGGAGTGATAGAGCAACAGTGCAGAAGATAATGAAGAACAGGGGATTAAGCAAAGTTCCTGGATGGAGCTGGATTGAGGTGAAAAATGAGGTGCATTCTTTTAATGCAGATGATAGGTCACACCCAAGGATGGATGAAATCTTTGATATGTTAAGAATGCTGCTTCAGGTTGCACAGAGGCTTTGCTCTTCTGGAGATGAAGAGATTCTCGTGACAATATCCAGTGATACATGAGCTGCAACCTTTCGTTTTGTACATTTCTTTCTTAGCCATAGAGCTAGTGTTATCCATTGTTTCTCTAGGCATTGCTTAGCAAAGATATGGCAATTATATAGTCTCTTAAAATTAATGCAGTAACATTTATTTGATTCAACTTTTGTGCTTCTGATTTTCACCTAGCAGATCCAAATAGCTGTAAGAGCTTAAATTTACAGTTTTTAGGAAACTTTCAAGTTGTACACCTTCTAGTCATGTGGCTTGGCTATCATGGTGAAGCCCTATGCAATTTACTCCCTCTATATATTTATGAGGAGAATAGTAGTAGTCTTCATTTCTTTTTCTGAGTTCTTATTCATAATTAAACTTTTTCACATACTGCTTGCTCCTTGTCCCAGGCAAAGGGTACATATAGAGATTGGCATGAGCATCTTCAATGTGTTTGTCAGATGGCTCAAGTGTTCTGCCATCACAAAAAGGTTCTAAAGACATGAGAGAGCGTGCAGTTTGGTCTATAAAATGCCAATAATTCAAATTGTTTTCTTATGTATGAACATGTCTGGAATGCCATGAAACTTGCATTCTTTTACTGAGGGTCGGTGAAAGTCAACACCCATATAACTCCAACTCCAGCCTGAGTACAATCTTCAGGAGTGATGCTGGAAATGTGGAGAGAAAAAAAGAGAGTTGTTGTAGAGAAACACAAGCAGTAAGAAACACAATGTTCTTACTAAAGTCAGGTTTGTAGAATTGGCATGCCCAAAACTTGTTATGAAATACAAAATCAGAAGAAAAAAAGAGAGCATGTTTTTGTGGTGCCACTGTCTACCTTGGGGCAGCATCTGGCTAGTCCCTGGTAGCGTCTGTGCCAAGTGAGCACGGAAATCCCTTGGCAACATGAATGCTTTTCGTGCATGGTCACTTGTCATCGATGTGCAGCTGCTCTGCACTTTCAGACCCAATGATGAAGACTAATATAGTTGAAGGTTGTTCTCGGTACTGAATGATACACATATGCGCTTGGTGAGAAAGAAGTGCATTCACTAGTGTTACTGTCCAGTTCTGTTATTCAGCCAGTGTTTAGTCACAAATGAGAGATCGTCTGCCTAGAGCTGTGGTTCTGCATTGGAACTGTACCGCTAATAAATTTTCTGAAAGCAAGTCGGATCCCTGTTTTCAGGACGTCCGATTAATCGTGATTAATCGCGACTAATCGTCCTGGACGGTTTTAGCAACTCGACCAGGGCCTCCGAATAGGCCAGACCGTCCAAAAAAACTAGTCGTCCGATTAATCGTCGTCCAGCCGTGATTAATCGCCCGTCCAGGCTGTGCTAGTCGTCCAGCCTGTCCAGCCTGAGAGTGGGCTGTATCTGAGAGCTGGGCCTATTTTATATTTTGGCCCAAGCCCATTAGGGTTTCCCTTTCCTACCCCCTCACTCCCTCAGCCTCTCACTCACACGGTAGACACACTCACTCTTCAGTCTTCTAGTCTCTCACCTCTCCCAGTCCAGCAGCAGCCCTCCCTCTCCCTTCCAGCTGCTCCTCCCCCTTCCAGCTGCCCTCCCTTTCCCTGCTGCTCCTCCCCCTTCCAGCTGCCCTCCCTCTCTTCCTTGTGGTTCTTTGAAGTTACTCAGCACGCATGCTCAGTAGATCCGGTGGGTGTGAGAACTCTGAGATCCAACTGTGCAAGGGAGGAAGACTGCACGAAGAATATGAGCTCCTCCTCCTCGGTCGGGTCATCACCTCCTCGTTCAATCTTGGTGCTTTGAAGCTTGAAGCTCTGTTTTCTGTGTAGATCTAGATCGGTGAGGCAACGTCTTGATGGAAGTGTACATGAACATCCCACGATGCTGAAGTTCAAGGAGAAGTTGGTTCTGCTCCGGCCTCCTCGGTTGCATCAGGCTCTCTACTTCTTGCTTTGGTTCAAGGTGACATCAATCGCTCGCCCCGATGTTGCATCTCTTGTGGAAAAGGCCCTAGCAAAAGCGCCTCCGAAATGGTTCTTTGAAGCTAAAGATCCCAAGAGGAAGGCTAAGTCTCGAGACCACGGATGGAAGTTTGGATGGTGGCCAGATATTGCAAAGAAGGACGTGCAATGTATTTTTGTAAGAAGATAACTCCCTCGAGAATTAGTAGGTTTAAACAACACCTTCTTTGGAAGTTATGGTGATGCACTTGGATGTCCAAATTGCCCTGAGATTATTAAGCGAGAGATGGATGCTTACATCAAGAAGAATACAAGGTCTGCAGTTGTGGTAGTTCCTGAAGTTCAACAAGATTCTGAAGAGGGTGAAGGTGATGAAGTTGTTGAAGTTGAACCAGAAAAAGTACCTAGTTCTGGTACAAAGACCAAGCAAAAGCAAGCACAAGCAAAGAAGAAAGTAGCTCAATCTTCCATCGCTGCCTATATGGCTGCTGCTGGTTCATCAAAACCAGCAAATCAAAAGAACACCAAGTCAGTTGTTTCCATGCTTCGGAAGACACCAGAAGAGGTAGTTTCAGAAAGGCACAAATTCAAGACTTCTCAGCCTACTATAGAGCATTGCACAAAGAAAGAGAACAAACAAGTTGTTGATGGCCATGTAGCTGATTTCTTTTATGAAAATCGTATACCATTCAATGTCATTAACTCTAGAAGCTGGGAGATTATGCTTGAGTCAATTGGACAGTATGGACCTGGGTACCGCTCACCATCCTACCATGAAATTAGTGAGCCATTGTTAGAAAGAACATCAATAGGACAATGAAGGCGAGGAAGAAGCATGAGGAAGCTTGGAAAGAGTATGGTTGCACTCTGATGTCTGATGGTTGGACAGATACTAGCCATCGTCATCTAATCAATTTTCTTGCAAACAGTCCAGCAGGGACATTCTTCCTAGGTTCAGTTGATGCATCAAGTGAGGTAGCTGATATGAATTTGCTAGCAGATTTGTTAGAGAAGCAAATTGACAAGATTGGGAGGGAATACGTGGTGCAGATTGTCACAGACAATGGGTCCAACTTTAAGGCAGCGGGAAGGATTCTAATGGAGAGGATCCCGCACTTGTTTTGGACACCTTGTGCTGCCCATTGCCTGAATTTGTTGCTGCAAGACATTGGAGAGATAAAGGAGTTCAACACTATCATAAATTCAACAAAGAAGGTGAGCAGATTTCTATACAAGCATGGGAGGATACTTGATCTAATGAGACAGAAAATAGGTGGGGATCTTGTGAGGCCATTTGTGACTCGATTTGCTACTTCTTATCTCACTTTGGCAAGTATGTATAAAAATAAGCAAGGCTTGAGAAATTTATTAAATCGTGAGGAATGGCACAATAATGACATGTCTAAGTCTCATTGAAGGCAAACGAGTTGAGAATATTATCCTATCTCGTGCCATTTTGGACTAAATTGGAATATTGCTTGAAAGCTTCACAACCACTTCTCGTTGCTCTAAGGATTGCAGATGGGGATGAGACACACAGCAGCTCACGAGATCATCTGTAGACCATGGATGTTGCAAAAAGCACCATCAAAGAATCTCTAAAAGATAAAACTGAATTACTTGGCGGTCTTTGGCGTTATATGATAAGAGGTGGGATACCCAAATGGAACAAAAGCTATATGGGGCAGCCCTATTCTTGAATCCAAACAAGTTCTTTGCCATAAGGAGAAAGACAAGAGACAATTTTGCAAGGTTAAGAGGCATGTTCAATCAAGTTCTATGGAAAATGGTGACTGATGACAATGTGTCAACCAAGATTTCACAGCAAGCTGATGACTATGAACAATCTGAAGGTGAAGGCTTCTCAATGCCTTTAGCTATAAGGGACAGAGACAAAAAGAACCCTAGTAAGTTTAGAACATTTTCTTTCCTTCAATTGTGCTGATTCTGTTTTGCTGAGCTGATTCTAGTCTAATTGTGTTTCAGTTCGTTGGTGGTGTTCATATGGTGGCCATGCATTTGAACTACAATGTTTAGCAAAGAAAATTATCAGTCTTTGTTGCGCAGCATCAGGTTGTGAGCATAACTGGAGCGAATTCTCTAGTGTAAGTATCATTGCTAGAGTGTTAGTGCTGTTGGAAATTGTAGACCAATGTGATGTCATGTTATTTTTTTCTGCAGATTCACACCAAAAAGAGGAATAGATTAGGGCACAAGAGGCTAAATAAATTGGTTTATGTCAGTTACAACAAAAGGATGACAAATGGGTTTCAAAAAATTCGAGAACTTGGTTGCAAAGGAAAGAGGAGCAACCCTCTCTTGCTAGAAGAGTTTCAGTGGGACAGTGAATGGGTTGATGAGAATTGTGGGGAGCTGCCTTGGGCTGTTGTGGATGAAGCTATTGGTGCATCTGAGAATCTAAGGGCTCGCAACTTGCCTAGGGTTGCTGCTAGCCGTGCTGTAGCCACTGTCCAGAAGACCTATACTAGGAACAGGAAGTGTCGTAGGGGGACTTCTGCAGCACAAGATATATCTGGAGGTGAAGAAGATGATAGTGACCATGATGCTGATGCAAGAAATGAAGACCAAGAAGATCAAGATGTATCTGATCCTGTGGCACCAATGGAGGAGGATGAAGACCCCCATGGATGTGCAACAGATGGAGATGGAGGAGGCTTTTGTGTAGATGGCACTCTACTTGAGTAGTTCTTTAGATCATTGGCTGTTTTGCCCATTTATGTACTGGACTTGATGTATGCACTATTGCACTATGCACTATGGCAATGGCAGTGTGGCACTATGCCCACTAGCCACTATGCACTATGCAGTTCTGGACTGGTTTAAATTGTGTGCTTTACTGTTTTAATTTCCTTTGTTGATCACTTGATTGCCTTTCACCATATTTCCTTGCTAATGTGCTTTATTTTTCTATAATTTCAGTTTGTCAGCAGCAGCCAGCAAGACAAGAAAGGGCTCTGCAGCAGCCAGGTAAGTGGCCAACTGACCTATCTAGAGCCTAGAACATGTAGTATATTAGTGTGTGTATATTAGTTTGAATAACTATATAATATATATGGTATATCAGTTTCCCATATATAGGGGACGACCAGGACGACCAGGGGACTCGTCCAGGGTCGATTAATCGTCCTGGACGACGACTAATCATCCTGGACGTTCTGGACGGTCCCCAGACGTCCAGACTCGACCAGCCGTCTTGAAAACATGGTGTCGGATAATGATACGATCATGTGGGTATATGACACAGTGAGGGCAGGAAATATCAATGCACACATTTCGATTGTGAGGCCAACACCAAAATGGTCACAGGAGGATAACATTGGAAGCAACTGGATGCAACCTCTGCTTTCTGTTTGTTTATGTTGTGCCAAAGTATATGCTGTATACTGTATAGCGTTATCATTTGAAAGAAATTTGAACTGTACTCATGAAATTTGAGATCTCAACCATTGTCCTATCCAACTCCATCTAATGGCATGTACCAAAGCTGCTTTGATTTGGTCTCCAGAAAGCCTCACTGCCAAGCTGTTCTGGTCTAGGAGGGTTGCCATTTGCTCATGCTGGCTGAGTGTCTGATCTGTTTGAAAGAGCTGGCTGCTAACTGTGCTTTGTTTTCACCTTACACTTCTCCCTCCTTAACAGCCGGGTAAGCACTCCACTGCCTACCATATCTACTTTCTGTAACGGGTTTATAGTTTGGGTTTGTTGTGACTGCAGGCTGTTACAATTTGGAATTTTACGTAGATATATAGATCAGTTTTGATCGCACTCGATTCATTCTTAGTACATTGCTATTAAGCTAGATATGCTAAAATGTTGTAAGTTTTTACCCCATGTAACTCATTAGCCATGACAGCTTGAAGTTATTTCACAGCTACATCAAGTGTACCATGTTTCAATTAATTCTCCTGATTACTAGGTCTTTTGAGCAAAGTAGTCGAGGTTTATTATACTTGATGCATGTGAATCCATTTTCCCAATTGCTTAAAGAGTAGAGTATTCCATGGGCCTGGTTCAAGCACGTGGCGTTCCAATACGATGAATAGAAGTGGTAGAACTTAGACATGATATTTATGATAGCATGGATCAAATTAACCCAAACTTCTAGGTACGTTTTGAGTAGGTTTGTTTTCATGATTTCATCAGGTAAAGGGTTTGCACTGTATACTTTCCCAATAATGTAAGGAGACTTGAATAAGAGTCAATCAATTATGCGACTTGGAGTCAAAGGTACACAGTCTACCAGTTTGATGGCATACTAGGGATCCTTTCTTTAACAAAAATAAACAGTCATGGCACGGTAGTGGCAAGTCACTTAACCATGATTAGAGAGTACTTAACTTGCAAGTGCATTTAGCAACCCAACTAGTTCAAAAAAGTCACACGTTACCATTGCCTGCACTGCAAACATTTCTAGTGCCCAGTTCCGGTAAACACTGGTTGTCCCTTCCAACAAGGCAGCCTGGAACAGACGGAAGCAATGGGGGTGATCTGTGCTGTGCGTCACCTTTCTGACTTCACTGCTTTGCTTGCTTGCAGGTTGCAGATGCAGATCACTGTGGTTGAGGCAGCCATGCGTGAAGAATCTTTTCAGCTTAGGCTAATCAGCTTTTGAGGATTCTGCTAGAATATTAATACCCACATAGCTGCACTGGCACAGCAAATCCCTGACTGGGTCATCACCTCCCCACGAGAGAGGGCTCCTTGGATGATCACGTACCCAGTTCCGGTAAACACTGGTTGTCCGTTGTCCGGTTGTCCCTTCCAACACGGCAGCCTGAAACAGACAGAAGCAATGGGGGTGATCTGTGCTGTGCGTCACCTTTCTGACTTCACTGCTTTGCTTGCTTGCAGGTTGTAGATGCAGATCACGGTGGTTGAGGCAAACATGCGTGAAGAATCTTTGCAGCTTAGGCTGATCAGCTTTTGTCCTTTTGAGGATTCTGCTAGAATATTAATATACCAGCATAGCTGCATTGGCACAGCAAATCCCTGACTGGGTCATCACCTCCCCACGAGAGAGCTCATTGGATGATCACGCACACGTGCAGGTGCAGGTGCACGATCAGTCGATCAGATGGACCTCAGCTCGATCTGAATTATTGCTGACAGACGACGAACCTCAGCTCCTACAAGCAGTCATAGGAAGAAATAGAACACTTTACATGAGCTGCAGTTAACCTGACAGTGAAATTCTGTAACCACATCAGAATCCACAGCTGGGTCTGGCTACCGTTGATTCTCCAAGCTTTGGATGGTCAGTCACAGCTGGTCTTGTCCTGAATCCTGATTCCTTTGTCTGCATCCTCTGCGGCGGCAGCATCTCATGACTCCTGACCTGCTGTGATCAGACATGCATCGACTTGTGACTGACAGACAAAATGACGAGGATTAGGCTCGTATGCGGGATTGTGTGTTAATACTCAACCATGCAATGGTCAGCAAGTGCAGGCAATTATCGGCCGGTGGTTAAGCGATCAGTTTCTGTCCATGTCTCAAGCACCACTCGTTACTCCCTCCATCTAAAAAAGATACAATTCTAACGTTCTACCATGTTTACTTTGACTAGAGGTATAAAAAATAATATTATTTATGATACCAAATTATTATAATAAATTTTTTATCAAGAAATTTATTTTTATAGTATATATTTGAAGTCATAAAATGTTACGTAATACTTCTATAAATTTTAGTCAAACTTAAGAAACTTTGACTCAGCCCAAACCTAGAATTGCATCTTTTTTGGATGGAGGTAGTATCTTTTATCTGAATTTCTGCTCCATCCCAAGTACCAGAGATGAGGGAGAGGCGTATCATCCACTTCAAATTCTTTTTCTTTCTCATCTTGTAAGTTGCTTCTACTCTATTAATATATGCCAGATGAATTTCTTGTCGTGGCTTTTGAAAGGATTTTTTTTTTCTTACGTGAATACATCATACATGGCCCTGCTGCTTGGTGTTCAAGTTGCATTCCAACTTTTTTTTTTGAGAAGTGTTGCATTCCAACTCGTTTCTGTTGCTGACGAAAGCTGAATGCCTTTCAGTTTGCCGCTGCATGCACACATGGAGGAAGAAGAACCCAAATCGAAACAGAACCAGCTGGGACAGGAGACGAAACATCAGCCTCGAGCTGATTCAGCACCACGGCTCCTGGAAGATGACCTCTTGAGCCGCCACTTGTCCGCTGCTCTATTTTTTTTTTCTGTCAAATTCCACAGGAACTCAAGCTCACTACGAACACTCAAGAAAAAACAAAACATAATCTTGTGATCTTGTCGGTCATGGGCACTACTCATGTTGACAAAAGATTTTTTTTTTTCGTGGGAAAACCTGGCCATATGAAGAAATTGCTCATGAGTTCTCTTCCAAAAAAAAAAAAAAAAAATCGGTGCACTTTTGAATATATGTATACTGTGCAGTTGTGCATAAAAACAACAGTGCAACGCAGCAAAGGTTGTTGCCACCTTTTGGATCGAGTTCATTCCAGTCAGCTATTGCTAATCAGCTTTGGCAGATGGATTCAGCGACTGTATTTAAAATGTGTAGCAGTATTAAGCATTATTATTGTCCTTGACACGATTCTTGATAGAGACGGAGAGAGTGAGCCCTCTCAGTCATTGATGACAAACAAATGTCTGGCAAGAATACTCTCTGAGACTCCGACTGGGTCCGAGGAAAGAAATATTGAGCCTAATTGCCTAAAGGTGCTAAGTCCGTCCTAAAAAAATTGTAATTCTAGCTATGGTCAAAATCCAAATATCATAAATTTTATCAATTTTATAAAAGTTAGTACAATATTTTATATTTATTATAAAAATACATTTTATAACAAATAATATGATGATATTTACTTGATACATAAATGTTACTTGTATCGTTTGGCAGAATTGCATCTTTTTAGACCGACGGAGGTAGTAATTGCAAAGAAGGCAAGACACGCACCGATAAGCTAGCCTGATGAGTCAACGAACGGTGCGCCGACGAACTTTCTGACAGCAACTAGTGCCGGCCATTGGTTTGGACGTTTGGTTCTGGCTCCATCGGCTTCTCAACACTGAGCTCTCTCCTTCCTCCTCCTGCAGAAGAGACCCGTTGAATCAGCATAGCCATCTTCGTCTAATAGAAATCGCGACAAAGCTTTTTTGCCGTCTTTTTAAAAAAAAATCAGCATAGCCATGACTCACCTTTGCTACTGCTAGAGGCCAAAGTCAAGCAGCAGTGGATGGGATGGGCATGCTGGGGAAGGTCGTGCCGCTGCCGCGTGCTACCGTGCTAGCTAGGCTCCAAGATATAGCTCCTACCGCTGCAATGGACGATGACTGCCGGAAGCCGCCGCCCAGTCACTGCACTCTTTGTCTGAATCTTGCTTTAGCGGTGGCAGTCACGACTTGATCTGTGGCTTGTCTGTCAGGTCCGGTGCCATGGGAGCTGTTCATTCATCACCAACTAAAAAACGCCATGGGGGCTTGACTTTGTCTCCTCTTGATGGAAGATGAAGGGCGATCGTGAGACTAATTGTTAGCCGACTAAATTTTTAGCTCCAATATATCAAAGCAGGGGGCTAACAGGTAGACTAATTTTTAACTAGGCTTCTAACTAATCTCTAGCCAACTAGCTGGCCAAATTCAGGTAACTTAAGCTGATTTTAAACCTTAACTAATAATTAGATCTAACTCATCCAAACAAGC